TTTCCTTCTGTTTTGAGCTGGGGTATGTGTACCAACCTTTAACTTGAGTTTTAAGGCTTAAAAATGGAAGCTTGATGCATGTTATGAATAAAAGATGATAACTTGTTGTTGGGTAATGTTGAACACGCCTAGAAATGCATGATTAGGTGTTTAAAATCGGTAAAAGGGAACCTTTTTGGGATATCTTCACGAAAATGCAGAAACTGCATTCTGTCGTGAAATATCCGGATATCTGCCCGTGGAATATCCGGATATTGGATATCCGGATATGACATCCGGATATGTGTATTCGGATATGACATCCGGATATGTGTATTCGGATATGGGGTTTTGGGATATCTGGATATTGTATATCCGGATATATGAATCTGTATATCCGGATATTGCATATCCGGATATGGACAGTGAGATATCCGGATATTGCATATCCGGATATGGTCCCGAGGAGTATCCGGATATTCTGGGATTTCGCAGAACAGTAGCTGTGATGTGCATACAGTAGGCTATTGGGGGTTTGTAGACCCTAGATTGATGAAGTTGAACTTCTATTTTTAATGGATTAAGCCAGAATCATGGGATTAAGGGCTTGTGGCTTTGTTAGAAGCTTTAAGACTTGAAAACGTAATGAGAAGACGTTGTCTTTAATTGTATGCATGTGGTACATGTTTATTGATTTATATTTGGTCCATATCAGATTGTGATCTGCTGTGATTGGACTTTGAGCTTGTGGCATTGGATAGCTAGCTTAGAGGTAAGCTTTCGTGTCCTCGGTTTAGCCATGTTGTGGTTCCACCATGTCCCATGGGGATATGGTATATGCATGCTGTGTTACATGCTTTTGATGTTTTGGAAATGCTGTTGAGCTATCGTATGTTAGTGCCTTGTTGATATGCATGGAGGTGTTCCACCTATACGGTAAGCCTGAGTATGTAGAACATACAAGAGGGTGAGGCTGTGGGTGAGGTGCAAGCGGTGTTCCTTGTACTACATGTAGGGAATAGACGTGTTCCTACATTTCTCTGGCCAGTAGATAGTGATTACACACATGCCATAGATATCTGTTGCACTACATAGTTTTGGAACTGATAATGATATAAATGCTTTTTGAACTTATATTGCACATGTAAGTGAGCTTGGGTGGAAGATCCTTGAGGACCCCTTGTCTTACTGAGATTTCTAGTTTAGAGATCTCACCCCACGTCTTGGGAATGCTTATTTCAGGGTCAGGTAATGTTGAGACCTCAGGCGGCACGAGGCCGGAGCTGAGTTAGATTGCTGTTATATTATGCTGCCTTGATTGGATGCTGGATTTGCATGCTGCTTTTATGCTTATAGCTTCAGTTTATGTTTTGGAGTTTTATGTTGAGACTTGTTGTTTACTATGTTTATTTGGTGAGCATGGGGATTGTCCATGACACATAGTATTATTATGTCTTGGTTATGTCTTGAGTCTTTTGGAGTTGTAATAATGTATCAGGATATTGTCCGGATTACTTGATGTAATGTCGTGATTTAGATACACACTTTATCTATATATTGAGGTATTTCGGTAGATGTCTTATTGCAATTTTACATACAGGCGATATTTTATGAAATTGATTAAGTAATCAAGTTGGTAATTGATAATGACGTCATAATTGAAAAGAAAAAGAATATTCCACATTTTTAATTAAGCACCGCTTAATACGATGTAATGTTAATATTCCGGGTATACATGGGGTGTTACATTAGGCGGGGTTGAGAACCATCCCGTAACTTTGATGTTGGCTGGGGCTGAGAACCATCCCAGTCCAACGTTAGGCGGGGGTGAGAACCATCCCGTAATCTTGATGTTGGTTGGGGGTGAGAACTATCCCAGTCCAACGTTAGGCGGGGGTGAGGACCATCCCGTAATCTTGGTGTTGGCCGGGGGTGAGAACCATCCCAGTTCAACGTTAGGTTGGGGTGAGAACCATCCCTTAACTTTGATGTTGGCTAGGGGTGAGGACCATCCCTTAACTTTGAAGATAACAGAGAGAACGTTAAAACCAATGGGATTTTATTGATCAACAGCAAGAAATGACCTGCCTCGTTAAAAACCTTCCCAGGCAAAACCCAGTGGGACAAAATCTTGAGAAGGAAAAAAGTGTAGCATACAGGTTACATTGCGGTTTAGCTATAGTATCATCGAAGCTTGTCAGCGTTCCACGCCCTTGGGATGGCATTTCCCTCAAGTGTCTCCAAAGCATATGCTCCTCTTAATTTGTTGGCAATTCGATAAGGTCCTTCCCAGTTTGGGGCGAGCTTTTCTTCACGGGCGTTCTTATTTCCGATGTCTGCTCGCCGAAGAACTAAATCTTTTACTTCAAATCTTCTCACGATTACTCTTTGGTTGTACCGAGCAGCTATCCTTTCCTTGGTTTGGCACTCAGATTTTGCTGCTCGCTCTCTGAGCTCATCTAGAGGTCTAGCGCTTCATTGAGATTTTGACTATTGGTAACTTCGGTTACATGGTCTTTCCTCCAAGAGGGTTCTCCAATTTCGACAGGAATCATTGCCTCCGTGCTATAAGTTAATCTGAAAGGGGTTTCTCTGGTACTAGACTGGGCGGTTGTCCGATAGCCCCATAGGACATTCTCCAGATTTTCCACCCATGAGATTCCAGCTTTTTCTTGATTCCCTTAGCTAGCATTTTGTTAGCTGATTCTACTAGCTCGTTGGATTGTGGGTGTTCTACTGCAGCGAAATGGTGTCGAATGTGCAGGTCCTTATTAGCTCCTGGAACTTGGCGTCTGTGAATTGAGTACCATTGCCCGTTATGACTTCTCTTGGAATTCCGAAACGGTAAACAATATTTCTCCAAAAGAACTTCCTCACCCTTTGAGAGGTGATGGTAGCAACTGGCTCTGCTTCGACCCATTTGGTGAAATAGTCAATGGCGACGATCAGCCACTGAACTCGGCCTGCCGCCTGAGGGAAAGGGCCCAAGAGGTCCATCCCCCATTTGTAAAAAGGCCAAGAGGATGTTATCATAGTAAGTTCTTCTGGTGGTGCTTTGTGTATGTCTGCAAATCTTTGGCACTTATCACATGTTTTCTCGTGCTCATGGGCGTAATGCTCCATGGTAGGTCAATAAAAACCTGCTCGAAGAGCTTTCTTTGCCAGAGAGTGGCCGCCCATGTGGTGGCCATTGATTCCTTTATGGATCTCTTCCAAAACATACCCAACATCGCTGGGGTTCAGGCATTTCAAAAATGGGGTGGAGCAGCCTCTTTTGTATAAGCGCCCTGCATCATGCAAAAGTGGGCGCATTTTCGCTTTATACTCTTGGCTTCCTTTGGGTCCACTGGGAGGGTACCTTCTAACAAGTAGTTGGTGATGGGAGTGATCCAGGTACTTTCGGTGACCCATTCTGCTAAGTCTGTAATACTCATAATGATACATGGATTAGGCAGGTTATGTTGAATGACAGAACGATTATTACCTGGGCTTTTAGTGCTTGCTAGCTTGGTGAGGATATCCGCACGTGTGTTTTCGGATCGCCTGATATGCTCGACTTCGATTGTCTCGAAGGTCAACATGATTTCTTTTACTTTCTCCAAGTATTTTCACATTTGTGGCCCTTTAGCTTGATACTCTCTAAAAATTTGGAAAGTCACCAACTGAGAATCGCTGAACACCTTGAGATGTTGAACTCCCAACTTTTTCGCTTGAAGCATGCCAGCAATCATGGCCTCATACTCAGCCTAATTGTTAGTGGTATTAAAGTTGAAGGATAAGGAGTGCTCCATCGCCACACCATCCGGATTTTCGATTATCATGCCGGCCCCGGATCCTTTGGCGTTGGTGGAGCCATCAACATATAGCTTCCATGACGCCAACCTTGGGGTTTCTGTTGCTTGGCTAGCTGCTGCACAGGTGTGCGTCACTTCGGCTATGAAATCTGTGAGAGCTTGAGCTTTAATGGTGGTTCTGGGTTCGTAACTGATCTGGTACTCGGACAGTTCAATCGCCCATGACATCATCCTTCCGGCGAGATCGGGTTTGTGCAAGACTTGGCGAATAGGCTGATTGGTCCTGACTGTAATAGGGTGGCTTTGGAAATATGGCCTCAGCCTTCGTGCGGCGAAGATGAGTGTGAGGACGACCTTTTCAACTTGCTGATACCGCAGTTCAGCCCCTTGCAACACTTTGCTAACGAAATAAATTGGCTGCTGCCCTTCTTTTGGTTCTCTGACCAAAGCTGCGCTGATGGCCTCAGCACCCACGGCGAGGTATAAGTACAGAGTTTCACCACTTTCTGGTTTTGCGAGGACCGGTGGGTAGGATAAGGCTCTTTTGAACTCCTGAAAAGCTTTCTCACATTGATCAGACCATTGAAAGGATGTACCTTTTTTGAGTAAGCCAAACAATGGGAGTGACTTGTGTGCAGAATTCGCCAAGAAACGGGTGAGGGCCACTAGCCTCCCGGTCAGCTGCTGCACATCTTTGACTGTTTGGGGGCTTCGCATTTCTATAACAGCTTTGCACTTGTCGGGGTTGACCTCTATGCCTCTCTCTGTCAGCATGAAGCCAAGAAACTTACCCGCCGGAACGCCGAAGGCGCACTTGCTTGGATTCAGCCGCATGTTGTACTTTCGCAACCTATCAAATACGGCTTGAAGGTGTGAAAGGTGTTCCTCTGGCATTTGTGATTTGGCGATCATATAATCAATGTAAACCTCAACGCTGTTGCCAATCAAGTCTTTGAACACTTCATTCACCATTCGCTAGTATGTGGCACCAGCGTTCTTCAGTCCGAAGGGCATCATAGTATAGCAATAATTGGCGTTCTGGGTGATGAGTGTCGTCTTGATTTGGTCCTCTTCAAGTAACAGAATTTGATTATAGCCGGAGTATGCATCCATGAATGAGAGTATTTTGAAGCCGGATGCATTGTCAACTAGCTAGTCAATGCTTAGAAAAGGATAAGCATCTTTAGGACATACCTTGTTCAGGTCGGTATAATCCACACACATCCTCTACGCCCCTCTGGGCTTTTTAACCAACATTGGGTTGGAGAGCCAGGTTGTGTACTTAACTTTTTTAATGAAGCCGGCGTCGTGGAGCCTCTTTACTTCCTCATCGATCACCTTTTGGCGATCTGGGCCAAACTTTCTCTTTTTCTGTGCTACGGGCTTTGCTTTGGGATCCACTGTCAGCCGATGGCAACACACTTTCGGGTCGATGCCTGGCATGTCAGACGGTTTCCAGGCAAACAGATCTTTATTTCCTCGTAGCAATTCAATCAACCTATTTTTTACTTCAGGATCAGCGATCGCCCCGATGGTGGTTGTTTGGTGGTCCGCGTCGCCTAAGACAACATGTTCTAATACTCCATCCGGCGTGGGCTTGGAGTGTTCCACCCGGGGGTCATCCCTTGCGTCGAATTCTACAAGAAAGCACTGATCAATATCCTTATTATTGCTGCTAGGGTTTTCTTCAGTTACGTGGGTTGTTATCATTTGGGGCGCTGGTTGGTCTTTGAAGGTGACCCTGGTTGCCGGTTTCAAAGATATATTATAACAACTCCTAGCTACCATTTGGTCTCCTCTTACTGTTGCGACCTTATTGTCCTTCGCCACGAACTTCATTGCCAAATGCGGGTGAGAAATGCTTGCCTCAAATGCGGCAAACATCCTCCTTCTGAGGATAGCGTTGTATGCTGATGGGGTGTCAAGAACTAGAAATTGGATATCAACAGACCACGAAGTAGGAGGCACTCCCATTGATAAGCGTAGATTTATCATGCCGAGGGGCTTGGTGACTGTAGCATTGAAACCTGATAGTTCACCAACAACAGGAGTTAAATCAATAACAATAAACCCTAATGCCCTGAAACAAGGTAAGAATAAGATGTCAGCAGAGCTGCCATGGTCAACAAACACGCGATTAATGCCAAAGTTAGCTATTATTGCTTGGATGACTAAGGGGTCATCATGTCCAGGCAGGACGTCGCCCAAATCGCCGTTGTCCCACACGATTTTAGGCTTGATGTGATCGGTATTGGCTTTAGCTTTGCTGATGACTTTACCAGACACTGCCAAACATTGTTTCAAGTGCTTCTTTCTGGTGTTAGTTGTTTCGCCACCGCCACTTAGTCCACCTGCAATCATGTTTATTATTCTGTGTTTGATAACCACAGGGTCTTCTTCACGTTCTTGATGCCCATCATTGTTGCTTGGGCTGATCTGGGCCCTGCGGCCTCTTGGGGAGTTCTCCCTTCGGTTATGCTCACGACGGGGCCCATAGCTAGCTTGGTCGGTTCTTCGCCTTTCTGGTGACCTGCTACGTTCACAACGACACCTTCCATTACCTGTTTCGCGCCCTGAATTATTGAACTGCCTTTGGGCTCCTCCCTTGATTAGCTCGTCGATCTCATCCTTGAGGGATCTGCACTCTTCAGTGTTATGGCCATTGCTCCGGTGGAACTTGCAGTACACGATGACTTTTCTAGCTGGTGGTTGATGTTGTGGGTTACTGTTGTGTTCTTTGTACTCCGTTTGTAGGACGCTGTGAGGTTGGCGTCTTTGAGTATCACGCCCGATAGGGCGACTAGAATACTTGGGGGATTTGTGACTTTTCCTCTCTTCATCAACTGCCTTTTTTTTGCTAGCTTTCTTCTCTCGGTTTTGAGAGTCGTCAGCTCTACTCCCTTTATACTCTTCAATTCTCATAAACTCTTGAGCTTTCTTCTTGACCTCTTTAAGGTCAGTAATCTCATGGCGGGCGAGCTCGTATGCGAACGCCCCTTGTCTCAGGCCTGACAAAAGTATGTGCACCTGCACTTTAGGGTCTAAACCTTGCACTTGAAGAGCCTCTTTGTCGAAGCAGTCCAAGAAAGACCTGAGGGGTTCCCCAGATTGCTGGCGAATTTTTTCAAGTGCATGTACAGACTTGGGCACCAGGTGGCGGCTAGTAGCGAAATGGGTTTGGAACTTACACGCTAGATCATCCCAGGAAGCTATACTCCGTGTTGGCAAAATGGTGTACCATGTCAATGCTCTCCCGTCTAAGAGTGTAGGAAAGGTCCTGCACATAAGGAGATCTGTCTGACCGTGAAGGGTCATTGCTGCCTCAAATTTTTGGATCCACTCAAAAGGATCGGTGTCGTCGACATACGTGGTGATGTTTGACGGCCCTTTAAAATCGAGGGGTATGGGCATTAGGCGTAGGCTATCGGTAAGGGGTTTGTTGCATCCTGAGGTATTAGCGGGTGTTATTCGTAAGTTTGGGTTACGAGCCTGCAAGTCTGGTGGTGGGCGAGGTATTTGGGGGGCCTCAACAGAGTAAGAGAGAGTTGAGGCTTGATGGGTGCCATATTGTGGCTAGCTGGGGGTCGTAACTGACCCTTGGGGTTGTGGAATGATTGCATTATGGGGGTGTATTGGGTAATCGTGGAATGGAAAACCAGTTGGGAAAGGTTGAGGGAAAGGGGAAGCAACGTTATGAGTGTAAGGTCCAGGGGGGTATGGGGCGACCATGGGGACTCAATAATCATTGTACATTGCCACTGGCTGACTTCAGGATGGTTGTGGACGATGGGCGACTGGGATGGTTCGTGGAACAACAATGGGGAGTGGCATTCCGAAATGAACTCCCGGCGGTGGGGGTTGATTTGGGATTAAGTTTTCTCCTTGCATTTCTCGTATGGCTACACGATGATTTAACTGTGCTATTCTAGCATCAGCTGTTGGTAACTGTGGGCCAACAGATTGCAGCACCGGGGGAAGAGCCTCGCCGGCTGCTCGCTCAGCTGGGGCTGAATGCATGGATGGCGGGTAGTTGGAATGTACTGTTTGTACGTGACCCTCTGGGGTAATGTCTCTAGCTTGTTCTGCTCTTCTCGTCGTGAAAACCATGTTTAGTTATCAGAGTGTGAAATGCATCTTGTGGATATTTGGTAGGAGAATGGGAATAGAAGTTTATAGTTTTCCACAGACGGCGCCAATGTACAGTTGGAATCTATAAGCCCACTATGTTCCCTTTGGGGATGATGTCACTATATGAATGATACCTCTAGCTAAGGTAAAGACCAGGCTAGAAGGTACTGTTCCAAATATGAAGCAAGCTAATAACAATGGAAGATTGGTATGTGACTTAATCAAATGGGCATAATAACGATACATAAGATATCTTCCTCAAGTGCCCAGGGGGCTATTTATAGAGAAGGTGGTGTGAATATTGCTTGGGCTGGTGTGAGGGGGTCAACCCTCCTTGGGATCTGCTAGGGGTTGCAGTGCTGGACGTGCCAGACGCTGCTGTAATAGCAGCGTTGCACCCTTTGTGTCTGGCAATGTCAGCGTGGGACAAAGGGCAGTTTCCCCTTATGGCATCTGGGGCGACTGCCTTTGGGGGTTACGGTCCCAAGGTAGGACATTTTGGTGTTTCCCCTTGGGAGACTCGTCGTGATGGGAGTTGGAGGATCTCACCAGCTGGTAGGGCTGACGTGGAATGAGGGTTGAGATTGGGCCTGGGCCTTTGGGCCGTAGCCTTGTTGGGCCATCCGGAACAGTATATAAATTAGGGGATTATTATATTGCTTACCTATTTAATTTTTCTACCATTATTACCTTTTTATTACTGTTAGTTTATATTTAAAACAACAATTGATATTAAAAGAATCAAAACATGTAATTAGTTGAAAAAAATAAGGGAGAGAGAAGAAGAATACAAAAAATATTATATTTGAGACCTTTGATTTAAATAAAATCTAATAGGAATAAAAAGGTAGCAAGGGTAGGGAAATTTTTATGGTACAACTGTGGTACCATTTTTTCAGTGAGGAACACCAATCAAAAATGGAGAGAGAATGTGAAAGTGAGATGAAAAAAAAAAAATTCCAACTGGCGAAATTTGAATTGAAGTCGCACATGCGACACGGTGGTATCAAAAGTTCGCTCTAAGGTAGGAAGATTAAACCCGGTACATTAAGCTCTCACTTCATATTTATTTTTGTCTTCCTTGCTCGCCATGTGTCACACCCTTATGGGTCATTGTCTTTTTTTACGGCGCAAGCGAAATCATTATTTTTGGATTGATTGGTCCAATGACGTCCATTCCCTTCATCGAAAAAAAGCTAAGGGGATGTCAAGTTATGTAATGATAAAGGTTATGCATTGACTTGATTTGAGTATATCTGACACTTAAGATATTTTCAGAAATACACTACTCAATCAACTTCAATCATGGACAATAATGACCATTTCTTAAAATCTGGTGAGCCATAATGTGTCCATTTGATTCTTAGATCAATTGTAGCTTGTAATCCACTTGCACATGCCTCATATTCTGCAATGTTGTTGGTGCATTCAAATTCTAGCTTGATGATTATTAGATATTATCTTCCATCAGGAGAAACCACCAAAGCTCTTATTCCGTTGTCACATATGTTGACAACTCCATCAAAGTATATCTTCCACATGATTAGCCCTTCTTCTTCACACTCCTCAACATTCAAAATCTCTCTATCTGGGTATGACTCTAACTATTTATCTTTAACAGGAAATTTAGCTAGAAGATCGGCATTCTTGCTTTCTTTGATAGACTCATGGGGTTATGCACTTGATGTCGAACGTCGACAATATCATTTGCCATTTAGACACCCTTACGGAGATGTGAGGACTTTCAAATATGTATTTCAAGTGGTGTATTCGAGCGATCATCCATGTTGTATAGTGTAGCATATATTGTCTTAGTCGTCTTGATGCCCACATTAAGGCACAAGTCTTTTCAATTGCCATATAGCAAGATTCACAATCTCGTTGTGATGGAGTCTCCCACCATGACTAATAATGTGAGGAGCCTACCCCATCTTCTATCTCGTTATGTCTTATGGCTCTTGACACTCTCTTACTTCTTGTCTATTTATTTGTGGAGTTTTCTCCTTCATCATCATACTGAAATGCTTGCTGGAAAAGAAATGGAGATGTGATTCTTTTTGTCATTAGTAGATTAATAATACAGCATCCTATATAAATCATATTAAAACAAATTTTCTAATTACTTGTTAGATCTACTATAAGAAAAAAAGTTATATAGTTCACTTTTTGTCATTTTACATTATCTTATAACTATTGACCCTATTTTTTTTTCTATTTATATTATGTCATAATTATTTTAAATTTTTTCTTTTTAAACACCTTTACTTAATTTTGAACTTAAACATAATTTTACATATACTTCTATTTGTATTTTATATTAATTGTGCTTTTATTTTTTCCCTATAGAACATGAAAATATATTTTTTAATGTTCTTATATACAGATATCATTATTCATTAAATTATTAAAAAATAATTCTTAAGATTTTAATCGACAATTATTTGTTGTAGAGCAATCATCATCTAGGGTCCATAGCTCAGTGGTAGAGCATTTGACTGCAGATCAAGAGGTCACCGGTTCGAACCCGGTTGGGCCCTTTTAGCGCACCTTTTTTGTTCACAACGACTAGACTGCAGTTCTCCATTTTTAATTTTTACCACACTTGCGAGAGACAGATAAGGGTTTCAGTTTCATAGTAAATCGAAAAATCTTGCTCCCAAAATGTTAAAATGGCATAATGGGATTTCCAGAAACACTGATTCGATATGGTGAAATATTGTAGAACGAGCTCCCAGATTACTTTTTAAGAATTAACCCTTTAAAAGAAAGGTAATATTTTCAGGGTATGATGCACATACATGTAGCCTAATAAATGAAAGTCTGGACTATTGTTTTCATCTTACTTCAAGAAGAGATTCATTGGTAATATTAGGGTTGGTAAAATGATCCAATCTGACTCAACCCGCGTTCAACTTGAAAAAAACGAGTCGAGTTAGGGTTGGTTCGAAAAATAAATGAGCCAGAAAATTCAACCCAACCCGATCCGAGTCGGGTTAGAGTTGGCTTGAAAAAATAAAAAATAAAATAAAATTTCATTGATGCCATAACTTCTAAATTTTTTTTTCTAAATTATTAATTCATTCAATACAAACACATTATACAGATAAATCACAGAAAATTCCTTTTTCATTTGGACTTGAACTTATTGACAGTTAGCACCACATTCATACTTCACATATATTATAAAAAAGGTCCTTGATGCACAATTTTAGACTTATTGACAGCTGCAGGGTATTTTCGTTTGGGTCTTTGGATTTGAGATGTTAGGTTTTAGCTTTTCACTTTACCTTTATTAATTTTTATACTTTTATATTAAAAAAAAACATAACCCGCGAGCCAACCCGTTTGACTCGTGGGTTGACTCAATTTTTTTCGAGTTGAAACGAGTTGAGCTGACTCGAGTTACTTACTCATTTTTTCTAACCCCACCCGGTTCATTTTAACCGGATTACGCGCCAATCCAGTTGGTTCATTTTTGCCTAGGTAATATCACCAGAACAATACTGAAATAGATGCCGTAGGTATTTAATTATGGGTTTTATGATTATTATGTTACATAACCCAACTTGATTTTCCTACTCACACAATAAAAAAGAGAAAGTGAAATGATGAAAGAGAAGGAAAAAAATGTGGACCCCACCTCTTTGATGTGTGTGTAGGAAAATGGAATTAGATCATGTCACATCATAAACATAAAGCCCTTTAATTATTTGGCACGAGAACGATACATATTTTCTGGGGAAGTCGGAAGATTCGTGGGACAAAATAAAAATAAAATAAGAGAACATTGAGCAAGTTTTTGTCGAATATTAAGGCACAGGTACAGATATTTTTATTCAGATGATCCAAGAAAAGAAAGATATTTAATTTCTCAGAGACTCTTCAATTGAATAAAAGATTATCTGCAAGACTTTAATGACCTCTCAATCTAAAGTATTAGGTTTTAGGGAACTTGAAATGAAGACACACAAAAAAGTAGAAGCCAGAATACAATAGCTGCAAATTCTACCAAGTTTTATAGGAGCCCTAATAATATAAACCATTTCTCTAACTCAATTTGAAAGAATAATATTGTCATTTCTTTTTCATTTAGTAATTACGCAGATGATGAATCCTGCTTAACAGAAAAGAGGGAAAAAAAAAATTTAAACCCAAACATAACTCCATGTTGAAATTATCTATAATTAAGCTAAGATGTTAAAATTTGATTCTCAAGAAAGCTATGCAACCAGGAGATTTACAGTAAATATAAAATACTTATGATATGAGACACCTTCACATGATAGAAGGTCTTTAAAAATTCAAATGCAGAAATTTGTTTGTCATTGGATTACATTACACTTATTGTAAAAGGGATCACAAGACACTTGGATAAGTTATAGGAACAAGCTAAAGTATCCATTCTCCTTTCCCTGATTGTTCCAACCAGGTCTGATGCACATGCACCCAAGTGAACCATTCGGAATCCTGAAAATCAAAGTTCATTCTTCTCAGCAAAAATTAAAGACAACACATGAAAAACACTTAATGCATTAGAACACACCTTTTTGCTTAGTACGGCAGTGACCACACAACCTTGCCGCTCTTCACCTGCAATGTTGGCAAATTAGAAAGGTAAGACATGCAACGCAAAATTTTCTAATTTCCTTATAGATAGTACCCTACCAAAATGCCCAGAAGATAGATTATTCATAAAAATGGTCTCAACATAAAAACAAGATATCAAATCGCTTACTTTGAGAGATATAAAGGGGAGGGAAATGAAATGAGCATAATCAACAAAAAGCAAGGCAAACTCATACCAGATAACTCCCACTTATCAAACTTCACTAGCCATGTATCTGAACCTATCTGTGTAGTCAATACATCATCCACCAAAATCCTATACTGTTTTCCCTGTTTGTCACCATACACCTTTCTCAAAATATTTAGATACTCCTTAATATGATGATCAACACCTGAAGGATGGATGAAAACACCGGATGGATGCTGCATATTAAAAGAAAGAACAATTTCAATTTAGATACTCATCAAAAGGTAAACTCTTACATAAAGACTTGAAAAAAAAAAAAAAAAAGTCATGTCCAAGTGTATTAGTGGAATAATATAGCACACATAGATCACCAAACAAGAAAATGAGGGAACAAGTGAAAGCAACGTGACATTTTTGTGATTATTAGTGAAAACATATCCAAAGGGCAAACTCAGTGCACAAGACTCTCCGACTTTGTGAGTGTAGGGATGAAGGTCAATTCTATACAGTCTTATCTTTGCATTTTTACAAAGAGACTATTTCCAGGACTCAAATCCGTGAACTTCCGGTCACAAAGGAGCAACTTTACCGCTACTCCAAGATTCTTTCTCTAGTGTTTCATATCAAAAGGTAGTGAAAACTTATCAGCTAAAGATGAAAACTTAAAAAAAATATGGTTGAGCAGTTTAGCAAGAATGTGGAGTATATAACAAAATGTAGAATGGCCATATCTGCTAATGATAAAACTTAATGCCCAAAAAGAACACGCAATAGATATTAGAAAATCTGTAAAAGTAAAGGCTATCAGACATACAGTGGCTGCTTTTGCACCAGCAATAAACAGCTCGTTGTTCTCAACTTCTGCACGCCTCCACTTTTCCATTAACAAACTTAACTTCACCATCTCATAACCTGGAGATGCATTTGCAACATCTTTTTCAATGTCTGAAACATCTCTTGGGGACAGGTTTGGGCCTAACTTGAAATGACCTATGGCTTGTATAATCCCAGATGCACAACGCTCTGAGGCGTGAAGAATTTTGGGGTTATCTTTCGCATTTGCTGCATGCCACTGCAATAATTCTTCTTGGGCGTTGCTTACCTACAATGAACAGAAACACATGCAATAAGCAAGATGATCTCAAACTTTGATTATAAAGGCAAAATATGACAGTAAACAAGTTAAACCACCAACCATGACACCATAGACTCCTGGGATGCTGAATAGCTCAGCATCATTTCCAGAGTCACCACAAACAAGCGTATTAACCGGCATTTTTCCCTCAGCCTCAAATTTTTTGAGCAGATAGGCAAGAGCTTGTCCTTTGCCAGCACCTTTTGGTAATATATCCAAATCAATTCCTCCACTATATACTATTTTAACATCCAACTGAACAAAAAATTGGCAATATTATGGAACCATTTACAATAATAAAAATGCAAAGATGTCAGAAATTCCAAATTATACACTCACATCAATACATACGAAATTATTGATGAAGAAAGCAATTAGCTTACCCCACGCTTTTCCAAAACCTTAGAAAGAGCCTCTGTCACATTCTGAGCCTTGTCTTTCTTGACATAAAAGCTAATTTTGTGTGGTCGTTGTTCTGTTTCTGCCTGCATTACCAATTATTCCAGATATGAACCAAACCATTCTAAGATGCTATTGCTACCTCAAAATAATAATTTGTCAAAGAATTAAATAAGTCACACTAACTGAACCCATAGAAAACAATGTGTAAACAAATCATTACGACCACCTGTAAATCATACCTGAGGAGCAAGTTCAGGAAACTTTTTTGTTTCCTCAATGACTATGTTCTTGTCCCATTTCTGGTTCAAAAACTGAACCCATCCTTCATCCGGCACCATTGATTTACCATAAGTAATCTCAGTCCCCACAGACATTATAGCTATATCTGGGGTTATCATGGGCTTCTCTTTCCTCAATTGTTTGTAGAGTGTAGGTGATCTTCCGGTTGAGAAAACCAACAGAGAATCATGGCGATAATGACCTTCCCAAAGAGCATTAAACCTGAAAAGGGAACTATTCTCAGCGTCATGGTGATCAACCTGCAACCAAAACATATCAACCCACTTAAATCACACCCCAAAAACAAATAAACAAATAAATAATATCAGAATCAGGAATAACAAAATGGGCAACTACAAAAACATACCATAGTGTGATCAAGATCCGAAACAATCATCAGACGCGCAGAAGATTTTAGTCTATCCATGATATTCAATCCCCAACTTGGTGCTGTAAATACAAACCATTAACAACAAGATGTACACATCAACAACAGATTAATAATAATAATAATAATAATAATAATAATAATAAATAGGAAAAAAAAAGATTATATAGTCAAAAGGAACTCTTGTATTAGCATTTTGTGCAGTGCATTCCTTTAAAAATAAATCAAAATGATAAACCAATAAATAACCATGCATTTGTGCTCATAAGCTATCTTTAACTCAAATTCCGATCCAAGTAGCATCTATCTATCTATCTATCTATCTATTTCACAGTTTCAATCTAAATTGAAAAAAAATTGATAATGCTTTTTTCTTTCTTTCTCGGAACTAAGAAAAAAAAAACAATAACAATAATAATAAAACATTTACCTAATAATTGGTTCATGTTGAAAAGGAAAAGACGTTGTGTTAATTCAGATAAAAAAAAATAAAGTCGCCGTAATTCCAAAAAAATAATTAAGAGATAGTAAGAAAAATGAGAAAAATTGAAATTGTGCGAAGCGAGGGATGAGAAATGGATGATGATGATTACCTGTGACAGAATAACTTGGGATTGTGAAGAGGATATATAACAATTAATATTAAATGAAATTAATGATTGTGAAGAAGAAGAAGAAGAAGAAAGGATTAAAAAGAAGAAGGAAGGGAAGTGACTCATACACTGTAACGGAAAAGATGCAACGAAACAGTTGGATCTAAATTCGTTGCTGCTTCTCTCTCTCTCTCTCTCTCTCTCTGAGTGCGTGTGAAGGAACTGCGGTCACTCACGATCAAAGCTAAATCACGTGAATTTAATATTGAATTTGTAAACACTTTCCTCGTACAAAATTTATTAAATTATATTAATAATTTTATCAAAAAATTATATTTATAATCTATTTTCATTTATAATTATAAATTAATCTATTTTCATTTATAATATTTTATAATTATATCTTAATTGTTGATTTTTGTCAATCAATAATTATTATTTATTACAAATTAATAATTAATTAATAAATTTGATTTATGAAAATAATAACTGTTGATTGACGAAAATCAACGGTTAAAATAAAGTTATAAATAAAAATATGTTGTAAGTATAACCTTCCTATAATTTTATATCTCTCTAATAAAATTTTAAAAAAATTATAAATAAATAAATATGGTCGGTTTTGTATTAAATTAGTGAATGTATAATTAGAATATAAAAGTATATGTATATTATAATTATAGGTTTTATAAGAGTTATGTTGTAGAAAAAGTGATTGTGTAATGTTATAAAGATTCGTTTTGCGTGCCATAGTTTTTTACTTTTTTTCAAAAAGTGTGGGCCCCACAAAATGTTGTGTGTGAAGAAAATTTTGTTGTGTCATGTTAAATGACAAATGTAAATCCCATTAATTATAATTAGAATATATGAGTATATGTATATTATAATTAGAATAAAAATAATAATTTAATTTATTCTAAAAAAATAAGAGTCAAAAGTTAAAAAAAGATGGGAAAAATGTATATCATTTTAAAGGATGTAAAATTGTGTCATTTTAAGTGAGAGAAAGATATAGATAAAGAAAGAGAGAGAGAGTGGACAAAAAAATATAAAGGTGTGGGTCCCACCTCTTTGTGAGAGCGAAATGATATAAGTTGTGTCATTTAAAAGGACAAACATTTTTTCCAAAAAAGATATATGTTATTTCTTATTAAAGGGTATAATGGAAAATTAAGCACTTTTATGTGAATATGTTTTAATTTAATAGATAGAGTAAATTTAATATATAAAAAATTATGTTGCACTAATATCTACACGGACATGATACGCCGACATGTTAATTCTAAAAAAAAATAGATTTTAACACCTGAAGATACATTTTGATATTAAATAATATTTTAACATATATAATATAGTTTACATTTAATACATATAACAGCTCATAATATAACATATAATTAATCAAATATTCAAATTTCGTAATATAAATATAAACAAATTAATTTTTCGAGTCAAATTTCATAACAGAAAAAATTTGATTTATAATTTGATTTTTTATATTTAGTTAATAAAATAAAATAAATATTAGATATAAAAAAATATCGAAAAATGTTGACCGCATGTTAAAAGCGTATCAGAGTGTTGACTGCTTGTCGGAACGTGCCGATGTCCGACACATGCATTTTTTTTCTTCAAAAGAGTGTGTCCGTGCATAAGAGATAAAAAGTACATAATAATTATATTTTGAAAAAATGAAATGTTTAATATCAAGTAGAATGTATAATCATTTTAATGTAATTATTAATTTAGCACTAATAATCAGAGAGATTTTTAAAAAAGTTTGGTGATTATTATGTGTTAAAAATGGGGAAGGTTATACTTACAATCTATTTTAATTTATAACATTTTATAACTATATATTAACCGTTGATTTCTGTCAATCAACAGTTATTATTTATTGTGAATTAATAATTAATTAATGAGTTTGATTTGCGAAAATAACAATCATTGATTGACGAAAATTAACGGTTAAGATATAAGTGTAAGAGGTTGTAAACGAAAATAAGTTGTAAGTATAAATTTCCTCGTTAAAAATATATTTTATCACTTAGATAGGTATAAAGCGTAGAATTTTTTTTTAAAGGAATTTCAGGTAAATATTTGAAATTATTTTTATAAGTGATAGGTTTTGGTGATTAATGACATTGTTATTGTTTTCTAATTTTCTATTTTATTTTTGATATGTAATATCATAAAGTTTTAAAAATCAAATTGTAGCAAGGAAGATAAATGAAACAGTGGAATATATAATATATAGCATGATATATTTTATTTTAAGTATAAATGAAAATACATTGAAATTATAATATAAATAACAAATGAAAAATATCAGCAAAAGAAGAATTTTTTGTTTTTAAAAAAATAAAAATAAATAAAAGTGCATAATTAATTTACTATGATAACTTTTTTTTTCTTATTTTTCAATTAGTAAATTTCAAAGCACTAAATTTTTAAAGCTTTAAAATTTAGAAACTAAACAACAACGTTATAGATAAATGTCTTAACAAAAAGAATGTCCTTCACACACATGGGGTAGGCACCAGATCATGAAATGAGGGGCCAGCGTTCCATTTGGGTTTCCAAATACTGGATTGGGTTTGGTCAAGCATCCAAATAAAGAACAACAATGAATTGTACCTATAAAATAAAAATAACAAAATATAAAAGCTTTTTTTTGCAATTTGCATTTTCATTTTGACATTTCAGTTAAAACGACAGGTGTTTATCAAAAAGAAAGAAGGAAAAAAAAACGACAGGTAGGGACGGGCACCAGCATATTCCATGGAATTTTGGTAATAAATGATTTTGGTAATAAATGACGGATTTGGTGTATTAAAAAAATTGCATTTTACTTTTGATTTCTAAAATAAAATTGATTAGAGTATTAAAAAAATTGATTATATATACTAACACAACCAAAAATAAAATAAAATTAGATTGTTTTATGGTTAAGATTTTTTATTTTATTTTTTAAATTTATAAAGGAAATATAGTTTCTCCTGCACATATATAAAAGTGGGTGAAATCCACTAAGAAGAAGAGAGAGAAAAAAATAAATGAATCTTATCAACTTTTTTGTGTGTGCATGAGACATATATATTCCCATTTATTTTTTTGGAGCTTATCGTCCATTAATCTCATAGGTTCCTTACGGATTAATCCAGGGAGGATCCTTGATTGTGGCTTTAAACCCCTTTCAAAGATGGTGTTGGGGAGGATCGAACAAATATTTTTACCCTCACTTGCTTAGCTCATATACACCAACTGAACTACCATCATTTAGTTTTATTAATTCATTTTTCTAAATTTACTTAAAAATATCTTTTTTAAACACAAATCAATATTTTTAATATTAATTCATTCAAAACTAATTCTACTAAAAATCAAAACAAACGAACCTTAAGAAGGGGAAAACAGAGATAAATAGAAAAAATAATAAATCTCTATTTTAATTATAGCAGAGTTTTTGTCATCAATTTAGTTTAATTTAGGCACTCTATAAAAATAAAGTAATAATGTTTATATTTCCAGAGATGTTTATTTAAAACATATTTATCTATTATATATTTTTAATGTACAGAAAACAACAGTTCAGATGAGAAGTAAAACTTTTTAATTTTACACCGAGTCAAAATGTCCTTACTAAATTCTATTGGATTTTTGTGTCTAAATCTCATGGGTTATAATAAAAAGTAGGTTGAAGAAGAAAAGAAAGAGATAAGGTGAAAAGGGAGTGCAGATAGAAGTCCTACATTAGACAAAAGATGAGAAGCAGAATGGTTACTAAGCCTCCACTTCACCTTTTTAGTTTGCCCATTGGGGAGCACCACTTTTGTTGAGGAAGGAGGACGCACATGGGCCTTGGTCTACCACACGCGCGCACCACCGCCACCGTTTGTCCGGTTCTGTGCAGTCGGTCATGTGTGAGATAAAAAAACAATTTTTTATTAAATTATTTTTTTATTTTTTATCCAAAAAGGACCTGCAATTTCCTATCTGTCATATCTGTTGACCTTTGAACTTTTTTATCTTGTTCGATTCGTGTCTATATATACATGTTCAGCCCGTCAGAAAAATACATATCCCGAATTTTTCTAAGTTACACTATGCATCCATAGTGTTAGTGCATTCTGCCATAGACTTAGTAAGTGCGATTTCTCAAGTATTTGGATGTGTTCGAGGGGACTCCATATTGGTAATGCCATCACATTTTGGAGACACAATTCGTTCTATCCTAAGAGATGATTGTCCACATTCCTTTGGCACCGGTAAGGGGGACAAATTGTCTTAAGGAGACAACACACATTAGGCTCAGATTTTTTGTATGCTAGCATCTGTTTCTAACATTCTGTGAGTTTTATCATATTTTTTATTGTACTTTTCTTGTAGGATTAATTACAGTATCTTTGTGACACAGATTCAAATCTCTCGATGATTTCGCCCAATGTCTTTTATCAATAATCAATCTTAAGACAATTTGTGCTTTGAATCCGTGTTCAACATATTTTATATTTTTGTATTATATAATGTTTACTATGCAATTAAAAGATTAATTTGTGTTATTGATCGAAGTTTCTGTTTGTGTAACAGAAATGGCTTCTGTAAGTACAAATTTGGTTAATCCAACTACTTCTATTTCAACTCCTGGTGAGAAGCCTAAAAAATTCAATGGGATTGATTTCAAGCGTTGGCAACAGAAAATGTTGTTCTATTTGACAATCCTGAGTTTGACATGGTTTCTCAAGGAAGATGCTCCTAAGTTGGAAGAAGGATAATAACTTGATAAGGAGAAGGTTGCTGCGGTTGACATATAGAAGCATTCTGATTTTCTCTGTCGAAACTATATCGTCAATGGTCTAGACAATTCCTTGTATAATGTGTATAGCACTTTGAACACTAATAAGGAATTGTGGGAAAGTCTTGACAAGAAGTACAAAACAGAGGATACCGGCTTGAAAAATTTCATAGTGGATAGATTTTTAGACTTCAAAATGGAAGACTCTAAGAATGTGATGTGTGAAGTTGAAGAACTTCAAGTAATAGTACATAAAATTCATGTCGAGGGAATGACCTAAGTGAATAATTCCAGGTTACTACATTTATTGAAAAATTGCCACCATCGT